TTTAGTTTTTATTCATAACCTACCCTTTTGACCCAAATGGATCTTGAAGACATTCCCTCTTAGCATCATTCTGCGACAGCCTCTCAAGACTCCCAGTTCTGACCAGGGAAGTGTGGCTGATCCTCGTCCCTGCTATCCCATCTCCCTTCCCTGGCTGCTAGCAGTTACAAGGCTGCCTGCATTTTCCTTACTCCCCCTTTCCCAACTGCAAGGTTTTCCCCCCTGTCTTGGGGCAAAGCAGGAGGAGGTTTGATGCTTTTATGTAAATGAAAAGAAAATGTGTTTGTTCACAAAAACTGTAGAAGAGAGGGGCTGCTTAAATCTTTCTGGCTATTTCCACACCACCAGTGGCCTCTCTCTCAAAATGCTTTTCCACTCATGAAAGGAAAAAAAAGATATGGACACACAAGGCTCCTTTCACACATGTTGGATAGTACTCTCTTGATGCACTTTACTGGAGGAAAGTCAGACAGCGAGGTATTGACAAATAAAACTTCAGTTGGGTGTAGAAAGAGTTACTGTAAATTTGGGTGGTTGGTTGCACTTCTTTTTAATTCTTGCAGATTTTGAATTTATGATATATTAGTTTACCCTGTGCAGATAAACTGCTACCAGGCTCCATCAGTGGGCAATAGCACAGCATGACAGCTCTAAAGCAGATTGCAACCAATTTATATATGGGATTGGAAGGATTAAGCAATGAACTAGTGCCATTGACGGATTAGTTTCTATAGATTAAAGACATTGGCCTGATCTAATCCAGTTATCTGGGCACTGTCGCTGCCTGGACCTTTACAGCTCTTGAGGAACACAAGGAATGTCTTAAGGAGTAGAGAAACAAGCTTCTGTGACAGCAGCAGGTGAAAGAGCATCTCGGGAAGAAAACACTGGAGGGCTGTGCTGACCTTTTTCAATATAGAGCTTTCTTGCTGATTAGTTTATAGCTGTACATAGGGTGCAGCATAAATGGGGAAATGGCCATTTCAGGTCAGATGGGGAAGTCCTGTTCTAAATCCCTTCTAGGGAAAAGATGACACTATGAAAGTTTTATAGTGTTGCCTCTCCAGGGATACCCACCGATGCCTGCCCAAAAGCTTTGGGCCTTGGTCCCTGGCTGGCCCTGCTGGAAACTCTGAGTTAGGCAGCATTTACAGGTGTTGTCATGTGCCTTTTTGGTGAAAGCTTCAGGATGTTTAATTTCATTCCTAGCAACGTTTGAGTATAAAAACTTTCAAGTTTTAAAAAGACTTCTTAAAATTGGACTCACTTTGGATTTCAGCAAGAAAAGCAATATATAAATAAGTGGTGGAAAGTGCCATCAAGTCACAACTGACTTACGGCAACTCCAGGGGGGTTTCAAGGCAAGAGGTGTTCAGAGGTGGTTTGCTATTGCCTGCCTCCATGTCATGACCCTGGTGTTCCTTGGAGGTCTCCCATCCAAATACTAGCCAGGGCAGAACCTGCTTAATAGAATAATAGAGCCAGAGAGTAGGAAGGGGCCATACAGGCCACCTAGTCCAACCCCCTGCTCAGTGCAGGATCAGCCTAGAGAATTTCTGACAAGTGTTCGTCCAGCTGCTGCTTAACAGAATAGAATACAAGACCTTGGCTTCCGAGATCTGATGAGAGCAGGCTAGGCTGGGCTATCCAGGTCAGGGCATGAATTAGTAATAGCAGCAAGAAATGTTGAATAACCAATACAATAAAGGCCAAATACATTGCTAGAAACCAAAACACAGATGAATGGCAAACTGTTGGTGTACCTGGGAGCGGAGATGATTACAGTATGTTATTCAGTGTTCTGTGGTTTTTGGACCATTTTGAAATAAGTGTTTCAAAGCAGAAAGTTATCATAAATTAAGGGGGTAAAATAGAACTGCTTCCCTCTAAGGTTTCTCTTGCTAGAAAGCCAGTCGAATCCAACTCTAGGGATGCGGTGCTCATCTCCATTTCCAAGCTGAAGAGCCAGCACTGTCCAGACACGTTTCCGTGGTCATGTGGCTGGCATGACTAGCCAAGGCGCACGGAACACTGTTACCTTTCCACTGAAGTGGTACCTATTTATCTACTTGCAATTTATTGCTTTTTAACTGCTAGGTTGGCAGGAGGCTTCTCTCTAAGCACTTGGTAAAAGTAGCCTTGATCTGGCTTCTTCGTAATAGGGAAGTAGTCTTTCTGCAGTTACACTTGTGTTTAAACTTTTGCTGTTGTTTTGGAGAGGAGGAGAACATACAATCCAAAGAAAAATAGTGTATCAGAATATTTTGGGAAGGACATTGCTGTGAGACAACAGGTAGCCTTATGCATGCATGCGTGCACATGCACACTCTCTCAATCCACTTTTTCACAGGGTACATCTAAAGCTCAGTGGTGCCACACTATATGTGGCCCCAGCACCTGTGGGGAGAGCAGGGGGAGGGTGTCGAAGGCAATGGGTTCCCCTATTCCCCGTACTCCAGTAACCCTATTTCCAAACCCAGGTTTGAATAACACATGCACAATGCAGTTTTAGGAATAAAATTGTCCACAAATTTATTGGTTACAGCTGTAAGAAGCCTGGGCACAGCATGGGATACCAGATCCTGGACATCAACTGACCAGTCGAGGATACCCCTGCCCACCCCAGCCCACCCTAAAGTGGCTTCCACTGCCACCTGAGTGTGAGGGTAATCCCTGGCAGACCCTCCAGGCTGGGCATTCCTCTTGAAACCCTCACCCCAAGAAACCTTAAGGGGATTCCCATACTCAGGAAAATGGGCATGCAGGTCGGTTTTCCTTAGAATGCATCCGGCCCCATACTGATACTACCTGTGATGTGACAAGTAAAAAACAAAATTAGCTGAAGCACAAATCCCACGTGAAATCACTGCACAAACAAAGGTAACTAGAAATGGGGAGGGTGGGCGGGCAAAACTCACACAACAAAGAGGGTGGCCAGGGGTGGGGTGGCACCTTAAATGGCCGCCCCACTCCCTAGTCCCCATGGCCCCCCAGGATTGGTCTGGTGGGGGTCAGGGTGGGCCCAAGCTTCCCGCTTTTGTGGCCTGGCCCCCTCCCAGCCAGTGAGAACCACTGTGGCTGCCACCACCCTCTCTGCCCTTCCTTTCCCCCCTTGAGGTGGCAAACAGGACCCATGGTGAATCTGGGCCCTTGCTTAACTTGTGCCTATATCAGTTGACCCAACGGTTGGGTTGTGCTTCTGGATACCAGTTTCAGCATTTTCTCAGGGAACAGTTCAGAATGGTACAAAAACCTGCAAAGTTAATTTATCCAGAGGTTTTGCCTCTATAGATCAGATCTTTCTCTTTCCCCGTCTGCCGCCCTTCAAGGCATCCAATATCAGCCAACTTTACCTCACAAGAAGGTCAGCTCTGATAGAAATAGGCAGGTGATCCTATTCTCAAACCTGTAGAAGCAAGTCCCATTGATTTCAGTGGGCTTTATGCCTATGTAAGTATCCTTAGGCTCATAGTCCAAGACTAGAGGATAGGAAGGCATTTCTGTGAACTTCAGAAATTTAGGAAGTTCCTTAAGGGTATTTTTTAGACATATCCAACAAGAGATGACATGCTTATTATAGAAGTCTCTGCTTCAAAGAGTTTATTATTACATGTTATTATGCAGATTCTTGCTCAAAAGTGTTTACTATCTAAATTTCAACAGTGGGTGATAACAAGTGGAAGGGGAGGAATAGACAGGGCAGGAGTCACATGGGATGAATGAAAACAAAACCAGATATATATACTTAGGCATAATTTCAGTTGGAGATAAGGATTGAGGGATTATGGATATATTTGAATACTTTATCACTGAATCACTTAAGTGGGATTGAGCTAGAGTGCCTTGCTCAATAAAAGAAAAACGGGTGGGGATCATGGATTCTGCAAAGATCAATATGTGTGTCATTTCAGACTCTTTTTAATGAGATCTGTTTTGAAAATTCTTTTCTCCCATTAAAAATAAAGTGAAGTAAAACCAGGTAGGGGTACACATGCAGAACAGTCACACCAATGGTTTACAGTGCTAGGTACAGGATGTAACTGAAGGAGCAGGGAAGTAAATTGTAGAACACTCTCTCATGTCCTCTAGTTTTAGGAAAAGTGTCAGAACAGGGCTGTGCAGGAAAGGGATTGTCATCACTTCTTGCTGCCAGATAATCAGCTCAGCAGCACTGTTTGCTTGGGTAAAAAGAACAGCAGGCTGGAAAGACAAGAGGATTTGATTTCCTATTGTTCCAGGAACGTATTCTGCAGCCCCCACCCCCCAGCCTTTGCATTTCTTCAGCATTCCAAGATTTCTTGCTTTCCATTGAGCACTTTCTATCTGAGTTGTCTAGTTAGATAATGATAATGTTCAGCAGCACAAATAGTATCACTGGCTCACATCAGAAAAACCACATCTCCCAACTGAATTAATTTATTCCCTTCTCCTTCCACTGTCTTAACAGGTTGTGAATGCAGATTCACAGATCCAAACTGGACCAGCTTGAACAGCTGAGTGCCAAGGGAAAGCTGAATAAATGCAGCACTACATCTGACTGGAGCTTCAGCTGCACCTGACGGCATCACCACAGAAACTGGGAAATATAAGTGAAACTGAAGCACTTCAGAAGCAAGAGTTATGCAGGAGAACAAGAAGTATTTGGCAGATTTGACCACCATGTGGGGAAAAGTGTTTCATTTTTAGCAGGTCTTAGCAGGAATGTGCAACTATTTACTCTTGGAAAGGGGGAGTGCCATGAGATCTATAGAAGTGATCGTCTGTTTGTGGTTGTTACAGATAGCTTTGCAACCCTTCTGGGACTGAAATTTGCCATTGGGGCAAATCATATGTTGGACAGTATTATTTTTTAAAAATTCCCTGCTCCCAAAGGCTACACCTGATACAAGCATTAAGATACTGCAGTTCCTTTTTGCAAGCAGAGAGAGGGAGAGAGGAGGGCAGAAGGTCAGAAAGAAAAAAATCTCAAAATCTCCCCTTTTGCTAGGCTCTTCTGTACCATGGGATGTAGGCAAAGCTCTGAGGAGAAAGAGGCAGCGCGGCGGTCCCGTAGGATTGACCGCCACCTGCGCTCTGAGAGTCAGCGGCAACGACGTGAGATCAAGCTTTTACTTCTTGGCACTAGTAATTCTGGCAAAAGCACCATCGTCAAGCAGATGAAAATTATCCACAGTGGTGGCTTTAATTTAGAAGCTTGCAAGGAGTACAAGCCTCTGATTATCTATAACGCCATTGACTCCCTCACACGTATAATTCGTGCTTTGGCCACCCTTAAGATCGAGTTTCACAACCCTGACAGAGCCTATGATGCAGTGCAGCTTTTTGCCTTGACAGGCCCGGCTGAAAGCAAAGGTGAGATCACGCCTGAGCTGCTTGGTGTCATGAAAAGGCTCTGGGCTGACCCCGGCGTGCAAGAGTGTTTCTGTCGCTCCAATGAGTACCATCTAGAGGACAATGCTGCCTATTACTTGAATGACCTGGAAAGGATTGCTGCATTGGACTACATTCCTACAGTTGAAGATATTCTGCGCTCTCGGGACATGACTACGGGGATTGTGGAAAATAAGTTTACCTTCAAAGAGCTGACTTTCAAAATGGTGGATGTGGGTGGGCAGAGGTCTGAGCGCAAAAAATGGATCCATTGTTTTGAGGGGGTGACAGCAATAATTTTCTGCGTGGAGCTGAGTGGATATGACTTGAAGCTGTATGAAGATAACCAAACAGTGAGTCTATATTCTTTTTCTTTGCTGGTTTCAAGAGTTCTACTGCTTGTATGTTGATAGTAACCACAGATTCTGGGCGAGCTAGCTGCTTGTTTTCGGTTTTGAGTGCTTAATAAGGAAAGTCCTGGTTCCCAACTGCCCTTGGGGTTTCCCCCCTCCCTCTTGGTGACAGAAGATAGAAATCCTGGCTAGCCTCTCTGACCAAAGTACAGTGTTTTTTGTCATGTTTACAGAAGAGAGTAGAACTCATATTGCCACTGACTGAAGCATCTTTTCTTTTTCTGAAGCCAGAGTTTGGACCACAGTGGCTCCATTTGTAGACATCATGGATTTAATAATCACTTTTAAATGAAATATTAATTTTTCTGCTACAGCAATTGTGACTTTATATATAGGGGGAAACTTCTATAAAGCATTTTGGAAAGACACAGCTTAAAAAGTGATTAAAAAAACCTTACTTTCAAAGTTTCAGAAGCTTGAGTTAACACTTTGTCCTGGCTTTGAAGTAGGCTTTATGGAGAATATTGTTAAAAGGTTTTATGGTATCTGCTACACAGCTACTCTTTTTATTATTAAAAAATTCGACCTTTGCACTTTCTTTTTAATATTAAATACCAGGCTTCAGTTACCTTGAGTGAACAGAAACAGTAACTATAGCAATGGCTTGAATATGTAAAAGTCTGTGTATATCATTGCATTCATCCGTCTTGACTTGACCGTAATTGTCTGTTCCGTTTATGTTTTCCAGTATCCTTGCTTAATACTGAATTTAACTGAGAAGGTAATATACATAATTGCAATGCTTCCTTTGGAGAACATTTCCTGTATGGAAGTCATGGTATCCAGTGATCAGTGAACTGACTTCGTTATGAAATGTGCTTCATACAGAAAATTGCATTTAACCCTGTTCATGGCCATTGCCAATAATATATGTGCTCTACAGAAGACAATTTTGTATTATGTTGGACTTTGGTGGACAATCTCACAGTTTGTCTTATGAGCTGCTGCACAGCCAGGCACTGCATTGGCACTACAGGTGAAACCATCTTGGTCCCTTCTTGCTGACTCTTTGGGGGGGGGGTAAGGGAGATGCAAGAAGAAGAGTGCAGAAATGAGAGAAGCAGCTTCAGGAAGGATGGAGGATCCTTTCCAAGTCTTTGATACATGAGTTCCTTTGGGACGAGAAGAAGAGCTCACTGTTCCTGGCAATATGTTCATGGCACAAATAATTCAGTTTGATGTCTATAAAAATACAGCCTATAGGTTTTGAAACCAAGCACTTTTATGTAATGGGGCAAATGCATCCTTTCCTGTAGGATGCAATTATATAACAACATTGTACTGTTCCATTTAGATGATGTACAATTATAGCAGTTGGTGTTGGGGTAAGAGTAGACAGATGTTAATGGTGAGAGAAAATGTTATTTTAACTGGTTTTGTGATGGGTAATGTGGTTTGGGAAGAAGAAATAGTGTCTAATTTTGTCAGATTATTTATTTATATATTATTTATTTAAATTTATAACCCGCCCTCCCCACGAACGGGCTCAGGGCGGCATACAGATAGGGCCAATGGCCAATACATAAAACATTACAACTGCATTTTAAAAACATTCAATATAACATAGGTGCTCTCCACAATAACTAACAAGGGAACAGATGACGTCATCAGGATGGTATCCTTAGTGGCCACAGCTCCACGCAGTACCACCATTTTAGCGCTCATGGCGAGTTGGTAATAAAGGGCTAGGACACAGATGGTAATAGTCGTGGAGTGATGGTAACAGTCGTGGCGGCTCCTACTCAAACGCCTGGCGGAAGAGTTCCGTCTTGCAGGCCCTGCGGAACTGTGCAAGGTCCCGCAGGGCCCGGATCTCCTCTGGGAGCTCATTCCACCAGGTAGGAGCTGCCACCGAAAAAGCCCTAGCCATAGTCGCCGCTAGTCTAGCCTCTTTGGGACCTGGAATTTGCAGATTTAAAAAGCAGTCCCTGTAAGGTATGGCACAAGTTTAATGGTTTTAGTTATCATGATGTTACCTGGGCTTGTGGATGTCAATGCAGAACTTTTCCCAGATCACTAAATTGGCCATTCAAAGAGCTAGTGAAAGGCAGCCATGTACACTTGATCCAGCATATTCATATAATCAGAATTTGAGTAGGATATACGATGTTTATGTAGAGCTATTTGAAACGAAGCTACATGGAAATAATTTGGTGACTTCAGAACACTGGGAAATTTGGCTGAATTGAATCTTAAGACAGTTGGGGCCCTCTTGTTTCATTTCAGTTTTGTTGTTGTAAGCCTACTGAAAATGTTAACTACACCTTCCATAAATGTCAATTATTTTAAAATTATGTATTTCTCATCGGGTAAAAGTGAAGGAATGTATTACTGGAATACCCCTCCTCCTTCACAGACAAATAATCTGGTGTGAACTTGATTGACCTCTCCAGAGAACATAACAAGTTTAATAATGGCTAAGGCTGAATCCAGATAACAATCTGGTACGTTTTTAAAGAAGAGATCTGGCAGTTGTCTCCTCAAGGCCTCTGGGCAGCTCCCTTCCTTTAGAGAAGAATTAATGATGCCCCCTTACTCAAAATCTCAGGATCACTCAGTTGTCTCTAACCAGCCTATATATTGGGGTGGTAACATGGGCAACCTTGTTTTGCACATGGCAGTTGGGGTCCAAAATATTCTTTGCTTTCAATAATTTTTATGGATTTCTTTTAGAAAAACAAGGTTTAGCATAAAGTGTCCCATACCCATGTTTGATCCCTGCCCTCTGAATCTTCAGCTTTAGAGGCTAGTGTATGTGAACCTTTTTTCCACTACCATAGTTCTTTCCTCATAATGTAAATAATAGCTCTCAAGGTTGAAGGGAAATTGTGTTTGTTCCTCAGAACCTTTCTACCATAGCTGCTACCAGCGTTCAAATATTAATAGCATCAAATTATTTTTCTCTTGATAAAATCTTATCAAAGTGGGTATCTTGGGGAATCTGAAGGGGAAAAAATATCCAACTGTAAAGACATCGAGCTTCATTATAACATTTAAAAAATTTGTTTTAACTGGAAACATTTACCATGATTGGGTTGATCTTAAGTTGCTATATATGTAGCAGCGCTAATACTAAAAGTGCTGTGGCCCCTGAAGGCAAAGTATTTCACTTTCAAGATTACCCTTTTGCCTGTGCCATGTTTTAAAGTGGTTTATATGTAGCTTCTGTACCAGCTGAGGCATACAGTGGATTTGGTGATCAGGGGGTCCTAACACTTAAATTTATCTTGAACTAGCCTGCTACCTGTGCTTTGCTACGGTGTTTAAGTTCTGTAAATCCAGTTATAATACTGATGATGTGAAATTTGAAATGTGAGGGGGAGGAGTATTAGAAGCCAAGGTGGAGGTGGGACTGCACCTGACAGACAACTGCCTGTTAGGTGTAGGAGGTGGGGGGAATGTGTTGGAAGCCACCCCACCTCCTCTCCTACACCTGACAGGCAGCTGCCTGTCCAATGTAGGAGGGGGATGGGGGAGGAGTATTAGTGGAGGTGGGGCTGCACCTAATAGACAACCGCCTGTTAGGTGTAGGAGGTGGGGGGAGTGTGTTGGAAGCAGTGGGACCAGGACACTAGAAGCCCTCCCACTGTTGCCTCCCCCAAGCACCAAGAGTACAGTGCATCACTTGCCCCAGCCTGAGAGTTCTATACCTTGTGGCTAATAGCCACTGATGGACTTATGCTCCGTATGCTTATCTAATTCCCTCTTTAAACCATCCATGCTTGTAGCCACGGTAGGAGCTCTCTCCCCGAATTTGGTGTCTCTAGGTCCAACGTGTGAAATTTGAAATGTGACATTTGTTGTAGGAATTCTAACAGAGAAGATTGTAGTGTACGTACTTTTCTCTCTCTCTACTGAAGAACCTCTCTCTAGACCACATTGGTGGTTCTGCCCTCAGGTGCTATGATCACCATGCTGCTTGATAAGCTCACTCTGGAGGAAGCCACATAGAACTGTCCATTTAAGAAGCAGTTCTCCGTTAAGTCAGCTCCTCCTACCTTCCACGAAAGTCATGGCCTCTCTACTTGTGTTCCTGGATTCTTTTGCTCATATGGAGACTGTGTTGTACTGAGCACCTCAGGGTGATCTTGCTGGTACTTGGCCTGTGCAGCTCAGTGCACTGCAGAAGTACTATGTGCAAATATCTTTGCTGCATTTCTATGTTGCCTCCTCCTTGTAACGTTGGTGTTTCTGGCTCGATGTTTGCCAGGAGCTTTCTTGGGGGCAGTAAGAGATGAGGGGGAGTTGGTGTGAGAAACTGGTGATGTGGTGGACATTTCTTCAGGTTCATGAGGGAGGCACACATTGAAATGGCTCCTAGAAATGTCCTTTACTATCTCCCCATAAACATTCATACCCTGGCCCTGCTCCTACACCTGACAGACACCGGCCTGTCTGGTGTTGGGGGGGATTGTATTTAAAGGCATCGGGGAGGCTGGGCCAGCAGCAGTGCTAAGGCAATCCTGCTGAGCAAACCTCCCCGGCGGCTGTAAACATCCCACCTCTTCTCCTACACCTGATAGGCAGCTGCCTGTCCAGTGTAGGACGGGGAGGGGGAGGAGTATTAGAAGACACTGTGGAGGCAGGGCTGGCAGGATCACTAAAGCGTTAATGCTGGGGCAGGCTCCCTCGTGGCTTTAAGCACCCTGCAACTGCTGCTGCACCTGACAGACAACCGCCTGTTAGATGTAGGAGGTGGGGGGAGTGTGTTGAAATCCACCAGAGAGGCTGGGCCAGCACTTTGCTTCACCTCACAGGTGGTTCTTGGCCACTCCTGATTTCCTCAACTGTCATTAGCCCTCTGCAGTCCCCTGTAACTGTTGGGTTTTTTTACCTCACAACACTGAGCTCTGCAGCTGACCAATCAGAGAGTGGGGGTGCAGAGAGGCAGCCTTCTGGCAGCCACATAGGAATCAATAGGGGGAGCACATTTTCCCCCC